ACACACACAGACAGACACACACACACAGACACACAGGAGGAGGATGCGTTAAGAACAGACCGAGCTCAGGATTTTAAAAGATCCAGGACCTGACTCTGTGCTACAGGTAGGATGAGCTTTAACAAATTAAAAGCTGTAAAAGTCAGGAGTTAATGATTGTGAAAAGTTTCCTGCAGCTTTGAAAGGATGAGGAATGAATGTGCTGAGCTCACACGGTGGAAGTCTTCCTTCCCAATCCTCTGAACTGTGTCATGCATTTAAACGTCAGTATAATGAAGTTTCTACCGGAGCTTTTCATTATCATGTGAAATGTGAAACTGACAGAAATGAGTCTGTGGAGCTCGGACTTCTCTCGGGACAGTTCAGAGTGAGCAATAAAACGACGAGGGTAATTATCGCAATAGCAATATTACAAAAGTCCATTATATCTTCTAAAAATCCACAACTCAAGAAATAATTCTGTAAATTGGATCAATTGCACAATTACACATCACTGTCTTTATATGTATTTGTTAATTGTATTGAATTACGAGCTTTGTTGATTATTGTCTTGTGAAAAACATTACACTGTGTGAACAGAGACTGGTGTGAAAGAAAAATAAGTCTAGAAGGATATTTTGGTGTTTTCACTCAGATGAATGCTCTTAGAATTAAACTGAATTGACAGAGTATTCAATGGTTTGTGCTTCAGAGAGCAAACAGAGTCTGAGCTGATAATGTCGTCTTTCATTCCTTATTCTATTCACTACATTACAACAGATACATCTTATTTATTATATGAATTCATGTAAAACTTTCTACTGCAGCATGAAACAGAGCCAGATTCGTCTTTATGCTCAGTTGGAGTCCAGAGTCCATCTGTATTCTGCTGATTTACAGCTAAAATATTCTCCTGTGCTTCCTCCTGACGTGGTTCAGGGCTTCTTATAACAGAATATTTTCCTTAAAGATTTGCATCTTCATAGGACGCTGAGTGGAAATTAATTTAGTGTCATTACAGAGAAGCACCTCACAACTGATAGTCAACTTACAGCAGACAGAATTAGATGCAAATTATTACCTGGGAAACAGCCATTAAGTCCACACCGGTGATTCTGCCACTTTATCCCAGTTCACTGCACATGTGTGTGTGTGTGAGAGATCGAGAGCGTAGCTTTAGTTTGTGAGAGGAAGCTCTGAATCACATCTACAGGATAAGTTTGACTGAATGAAAGGAGACATGATGACCTCTGTAATGAATCATCTAGAAAACCTCAGTCCAACTCGGGGAATAATGTAAAACACTAATTGGCAGTAATGTAAAAGAAAGTGCTCTCATACTTTTTTAAAAACACTTGAAAAGTTGGCTTCATATGCAAAGTGTTCCTCTGTATCCCTCATGACACACGAATGCAGATATTTAGCAAAACAAGAGTTTGAGCCGCTCGTCCACAAACGGTCGCTGTTTTAAAACACATTTTGCTTTGTGTAATGAACACGCACCAGAGACGATGGCAGCTGTAAACCCGTCTCTCTACGTTTGGTTCGCTAGGTCTAATCACAAGTTTGCATTCTCCTGTCGTATATGATGGATCAATGATGTAGACAATATCGCCACCTATGGGTCGGCATGCTTCGTTTGTAGTTGTTTTTGTGTTCTCGTCTGTACGCTGACATCTTGTGTAGACAAGAGCAGTAAAAAATATTATTAGGTTTGATTATTCTAACATTTAACTCTGATCGGATTCAAATTCAAATGTTGCTATGTTCTGATTGGGGCTCAGGGTGTTGTGATGTCACCCATTTCCAGCGTAGCCCCACCCACATCAAAGTGAAAGAAGAGCACAGGAGATAAAGACTGAAAATGTGTAAATTGAAATAAAATAATGTAGAATCCAATCACACGTAAGTAGCTCATTTCTGGGAACATTGTTTTTCAGAGGCTTCAGAGTAAAAAAGTTGAACGTTACAGGAGCTGCACCATCCGAATATCGAGTTACAGCTGGTGTTACACAACTAAGAAACTGGAAACAGGATTCAAGTCACTTGGACATGAGTAATGAATCCGACAACTTTAAACTTGACCTGATAGAATAACTGCTCGGACTTCTGAATTGGAATAAGACTGTTTTCAATTCTCTGCTTCTGATGTTCTCTCCTTTCCTGACTGATGTATATTGGACAGAACAACAAAAAGAGTTTGTCCTTCGTCTTCTGCCTTCTCTTGGATTCTTGTAAAAAGGTTGTAAATGTTTGTTCTCTGAGCGGTGACATATTTTAAAGCTCTTTTATTATTATTTTTTTTGCTACTCTGCTTTTAATGTGTCCTATTTTCCCGTAAGTGCACATCAGACTGAGCCAGCCAGACGGTTCCTATTGTGAGGGAAAGCTTTTGTCAGTCAGACACTGGGAGAAAACCTTGTCTCTGGCCGGACAGTGTGTGGTCAGTGTGTGAAATTGTGTTCTGTTAGACCACATAATGATGTGTCTTTGGATTCATCATGAAAGCAGCTTGAAATTGTGATGATAAAGTTGTATAGAGTCATTGACATCTACTTTGACTCCCTGTCCTTTTCAGTGTAGCTAGTTGCTTTATGATGAAGCTGTTTTCAGACATAACACCTGAGGACATTTTAGGAAAATTGAGTCTGGACATTTGCGGAGGCATGATAGGGCGTATAGAAAGCTCTCGCATCTCGTCCACATCCTTGTCTTTGCTTTTCACCTCTTTTTTTCCATCTTTTATTCAGTTTGTCACGGTAGACATCAATGTCCTTGTCCGCTTAATTGGACTCACACAGAGAAAATTTCCTTTATCAGGTTTTATCACGAGGCAGTACAACAACACACAAAGAGCGGACACCAGGAGATCAACATGAAAATTAGTTTTTGGAACTAAAACTGAACAAATGGCAAAAGTAATGAGCGGAAAATGTTAATTCTGCCCGTTAGCTCAGAGCTTGGCAGAGACAGCTGGTTACACTGCCGTCATCTCTAATGTGAGCTTCTGCATTAATATAACATATCAGACATTTATCTGGTGTATTCTGAGGGCAGAGCAGGATTTTTATATTTGTTAATGGTTTGTTAAATGTCCATATTTTTGAGCACAAGTTGTTTCTCTCTTCTTGTGGAGCGAGCTCTGAGCATCGTGCAGCACGACCACTGCCATGGGCGCCATTTCTCACTGGAGTATGTGTCACGGTAGCTGCCAGATAGATGTATGTCTTTGAACCGGGGTGTTACCGGCATGGTGACATGTGATTAAAAAAGAGTATGAAATGTAAAGAAGACAAATTCACACCTAAACAGCACCTCACCCCCTTTACACGTGCATATCCCCCAAGGTGCGTGGTGTACGTAGGGTACTGTCTGGAAACAGGAAACCCATTTAATCTGCAGCTCTGCATGACTGTATGTTTTGTGTTGTGCCTTTTGGAGCATTTTGATTTTGTTGGTTCAAAGTTAAAAACAAAGATATTATTTTGTCCGTCCTTTTTTCAGGGGACGGCTCGGGAGAAATTTGTCTTCTTTCCCTTTCACTGTGATCAGAGGTTAATGTCCAATTTAGCTTGCTGGCAGATACAAACAGCCTTGAAACAGGCCTAGCCCACTGACCAAGGACATGTTTTAAGCGCACACACACACACACACACACACACACACACACTCAAATGCACCACGCCGATACCCATGGGAAAGAAATGGAATTTGAACAGACAACTATGTAGGAGCTCCTTTATCTTTTTTGGTTTAAAGTGCGGTGGGGTAGGGGGAGAGCAGAGCTGCTGATAAATCTGTTACTGTGCCTCGGTTGCAATTAATCAGCTGGTCCCCATTTTTCTCCTTATGTAGATTAAAACGGCAACTACACAGAATTCCACCAGCATGCCTGTCACTGACATTTCTATTTCTGTCAGCTGATAAATCTCCAGGAGAAGGGGCACTTTTCCTTTGTGCGATACCGGCTCATTTATTATAGCTTTTAAACATTTTCCAGATTGTGCCTGTCGTCACTATGCGCTTATGTTTATGCATATCCTCAATGTCAGAAGAAGGAAATAATATGTCTGAGGGAAATGTCTGGAGACCATCTGCGTTACCATGGCTGAGCGTTTCACCTGTGCAGGCCGCTTTGCTCTGCAGCTGCTCTCTGAGTTCTTGCTGCAGATTTAATGACAGAAAATGTCCCGCAGCTTAACAAGATTTTGTCGCCTCTCATCCTTCTTCTTGCTGTGTTTGCCACATTTCCCCCCCGCTCTCTCTTTTCCCTCCACACAACTGTTATTTTTTATTGACTTTGCCATCTCACCAGACAAATAAGCCTTTTCTTAACGCAGCACCGAAAGGAGAAACATCATTTTAATCCATCTATAGTATTTGGACGGCAACAGCAGACTCGATGTGACTGGATCTATTTCTTTAATCAGTGGCATAAATGTCATTACAGGGTGTTCAGTCCTTATCATGGCTCGTCTCATGATTTAATAAGAGGCAGAGGATGAAGAACGAGGAGAAGATGTTGAGCATCTGTTCGACAAAGAGGGAAGAAGAGTGAGTGCTGCTCTTTTGTCCTCGCCCACTGTGGGAGGGTGAGAAGCAACAGAACAGTGGCGGTAAAGCTCTACCTCGGGTTTGCCGAGCTCAGCCTCAGCAAACGTTCACTGCCTTGTTCAAGTGTAATAAGTTCAGGATAAACTCTGAGCAGTGCTGCTCTGCTTGAAGCCACACGGCTGAATGGCAGGGGATAGAATTCTGTTAATGTTCCATTAGACTGCAAACTGCAGACAAGCTGGAGATTGAGGGTTCAAATTGACTTTCACTTTGGTTTTGTGAAAGATCTGTGTATGCTGGGCAAAGGGTGAACAATCAGATGTCTTTATATTACAATCAATCCTTTTTTAAAAATTGTTTTTTAAAATCTGTCATAAATTGGAAAAACATGTCAACAGAATTTCGGAGACTGTGACATCTGATGACATTTAGCTTTAGTCTACCTTTATATCACAGGGTCTCTTTGTGTGATCCTTCCGAAAAATCGTTTAATGAGCAAGCCGCATGGTGGAATAGGAGCTGGTGTCAGAAAAGCACTTGATGCGGTGTGGAGGTGGTTAGGCTAAAGAGTCTTCTTTCTCAAAATCGAGTTTGTCGGATAATGGTCAGCACTCCCAAATCTAATACAAAACAATCCATTGAACCACCTTCATAGATAATATCACGATAATGCTGAGAGGGTTTCACTCATGTTGGTGTATTTAATCCCACTCAGTCATTGAACCACCATTTTAGTCCTATACCACGAGAGAAACCAAGAGAACCAGACTCTATCAAGGCCTTCCAGCATTATTAAAATTATATATATATACATATTATATAGCCGAGGATGTCAGAGGACTATACATAAATATGGACGACGCGTCTCAACATCCTCCTGTTCTACTAAAAAGCGTAGAAAAGATTGTAATGTGATTTTGTAGGAAGATCGCCCACCACCAAAGTGCTGTTTGCTAAAGCATGGCAGTGTGTCGGAACAAGCTGTTGACAGCCTGCGTAATTGTTTTTCACAGGTTCAGACTTTGCCCCAGCCATGAAATGAAAATGCCCATAAAAGCCTCATGGTGAGGGAGAGCAGATATGAGGGGTGGGTGGGGGTGGGGGATCATAGACAATGAGGAGGACATCATCAATGTGACTGTCTTCCATTAAACTCTACCTTGTAATTTATAATGGACCTTTTATCTCTTATTTTGAAGTATTGAAACATTTAACCATTGAGGATCTGCACAAAAAACATTCGGCAATAAATTCATTTCGAGAACCTTCAGAAATTCAAACATCATCATATAAAGTATACTACACTGTAAAGACCAAGGTTTGATAAATACAAAAACATTTAAATTAATAAATCCAGTGTCCATCAACGCCTCAATTAAGAATCAGACAACTCACAGCTTTACATTTAACTAATTAATCGAATTTTTGCGGCTGTCACAGTATCAATCAGGCTGCTCTTCAGCTAAACTTAACCTATCATCCATTTCTTGACTGAAAACTCTTCGGTCTCTTATCTGGCTCGTGTTTGTCTTTCTGGGTGAGTAGCCATGTTTAGCACGCGCCCGTAGCATCAGTCGATGGTATGAAGTAACCTTTGCTCTTTGGGTGTAGTAGACGTGAATCAGCTTAATGCGATGTGGGCTTTAAAAGAAAGTCAGGTTAGGCTTGTCGTGTTTATTATGGTGCTGCTATCAATCCATTTTCTGTCAAGTCTGACCTATAGCAGCAACTGTGGCACAGCCAGCGTACATCTGGCAACACTGGGTATAACATAACCTACGTGTGTCAACACAGACATGTAGTTAAAGGCATTTCTTAGCATCGTGGGGTGGATTTTAAAAGTTAAAGCAGAGACGGCGATTTTACTGTAAAAAGCCTTAAAATGAAGTGTTGATTTCCGCACTCCATTAATGTTTGATGAAACGGCATCAGGGATCGTCATCCCCAGATCAAATCAGTGTCTGGATCATGATTTTTAATTTGCACTCCTTGATGCCTAACCTTAACCTCTGTGCTGCCATCAGCTCAGCTTATCTCCGTCTTTGAGTGCTTCGACTCCTGGCTGCTTCAGCCAAATGTGTTCAATGATGTGCTCTAAATAAAACACTTAGATGTCACTCCACACGTGACTCGCAAAAGATTAATGTGGCATTTATGACATTTACTTTCAGAAAAGGATATAGGGCCAAGGAGCTTTCTGGCAGCAGAGGCGGCTCTGCCCATTTGTGTAATGATATGGGATGAATTCCAGTTATTGGAAATCGGAACCCTCCTCTCCCCCCTGTCTGTAAAATTATGACAGAAGCAGCAGCTCTGCCTTTTTAGTTGGGAAATCTGTCACGCGTGGCTGTCGTCCTGCGTGCAGCCAAGAAAGTTAATGTGATTGTGACAATTGTGTCTCTTTTGCCAACAGATTGAACATGCTGCAGGTTGTATGAGTGACTGATATGGAGCCAGCGAGATCCCATATACAGACTTTTATGGTGGTGGCGGCTTTTTGCCTCTTTTGTAAGTATCTCCATTATTTTATTTAAACTATATCCTCCACTGTGCATGTTAATCCTTATTTTTGCATCAAAGTAAACCACCTGAAGATAATCTGTCATAAACCCCAGCAGGGAGCGTTGACGGTGCGAGGCCGGAAGTGCGAGGAAAGGCTGGAGGTGAGGTGGAGCTCCAGTGTAGATTTCCTCCATCATTCCCGGCCGCTGTGTCCTCTGCGTCCCTGCATGTGGTGGAATGGGTTCGACAGGGACTCGACATCCCCGTCTTGATCAAATTTGGATCCTACGCGCCTCGGGTCCATCCGCAGTATGAGGGTGAGCGTCCATGATCCCATTACATCCTCCCACTGAAAACTGTGATGTGCACATTATCCTCTCTGTTCACTGTGATGGCTCTTGAGTGTATGAAGATTGTCGGCAATAACTGTGGTGAATTGTTTAATGGACTTTGCTTTTATATGGCGTGATACCGTTTAACTGCGCTTCAATGTTTGTACCTTTTTATGCATTGCCCTAGCTCTTACTTCGTCATTTTGAGAGAAGCTCAAGCAGAATTGCATCTTAACATTTTAACTTGCTGGACAATCCTGACTGAAACATCTGCATGGCCACTAATACCAGTAAATCTTAGCTTTTCATACGGTAGAAACATCTGTATTGGCCGGATAAGCAACAATTTTTGATTTATATTATAGATCAGCTGGGTCTCCAAACAAATGCTCACATTTGGATTAAAAAACATTATTAGAAGTCCCAAACGATACCACAGAGATGGACTGCAGCTTCCAGCAGGCAGTGGACAGGCCTCTGTGTGGACGTCACTTTGTGAATCCAACCATGCTTAGACTGAAATTTCCCAGAAACTGTCACTTCGGCTGCCATTAAATCGTATAAAGACATTCATGGTTACGTGGTGATAAATTCCGCGGACTCTTGTGATCCCATGACTCTTCCTTTAGCACGCAGTTGGCATCTGTAGATTTGGGGACAATGTCTCTACAGCTATTGTCCACTTTGAAAATATTAATAATGAGGGCTGTTATGCTGCAGCCTCGAGTTCCTTCCACTGGAAGAATGTAACCAGTATCTGGGTCTCGGGAGCCTATTCATCACCACACCTTGACGGCCTTTCAAACCCGCCACAGTGGGAGCCACTTTTTAAAGGAGCTGAAACTCTCATGTTGCATCATCGTCCATTGTTCCCAGTGCTGTGGGCAGAATATGCACAAAGAGAATCTGTGGGGAGAGAGATCCTCAATGGACCATACCTCTACGCAGCTTCCGTTATCCTCTAAAGTCACAAACAATGGGACTAATGTGAACAAAAAGAAAGCATGTCTGGGTGGCTCAAGTCTTCTCCTCAGCGCTGCCTAAAGAGAAGTTCAGCCTATATCGACCTTTCCAAAGGCTATTTGAATTTATGCAGGAGCACCAGGCGCCGTTTTAGAAAGAAGCTGCATAAGTAAAATAATTTGGTCAATTAAACCTTCATGAGCTACCAAGTGGTTAATATTGTCATTTACTCTCAGCGGCTGGTAGATAATAGATATCAGCAACATGTCATCTAATAAATACTGCTTAAGCAATTAGAGATTTAACCTCATAAACCCTTCTTACCCACTGTTGCATCAGTCTTTACAGACTCACGCTGTGCAGCCAACCATTGTTTAAACCCACCATTTTAAATTCTAGTGCAGCTCCCCAGGGTTTCTGCAGATATCAAATATGACAATGAATATGATGTAGTGATGTTTTAGTCGTCTTCCTTTTTTAAAGACAATGCTTTGTTGTAAAAGACAGACTGGTGTGATCCACAGTAAAACCCTGACAATGTGATGTCTCCACAGAGGTAGGTGTTGACAGTTTAATCACAAGTACGATACATTTTTGAAAACAGACTCTCCACAGTGACCCTCTAGTAGCCACTGCAGAGGGTTTATCCACCTGTGATCGATCCACAGATCTCCAAAAAGTTTCAGAAACGTCTCTGAGCTTCCCAGGAAGGACTTTGTTCAAAAGATGAGGTTTTAATTTCATGCTTGACCTTGGAAAGAGCAACTGAGGCTTGATGGATTAATCAAAACTGAAAATATGAATTGGTCACAGCCCTAATAACAACAATATAGAGACAATATGTTTTTCCATAATGGGAAAATATGCTTCTTAAATGATAAGGTGTTATCCCATCATTTTCAGATTGTCTACTAATCCCATGAAAAGACCAAAACCAGCACTTAATCTCAACCCTTTCCTACTTTACTTCCCTTTTCTGACTGAAGACATACATGTTTAAAAATATTGTTTAATTTTTTAGCTTATATTTTAATCAAACTTAATCAAACAAGAGCAACTAATGCTTTTATTTGTGGATTATCTCCTGCCAAGGCTGAATTCACATTTGGTCTGTTACTGACTTTTTACAGCCTCAGGATAATAAGTGGTGGTGACTGTGTTTTTAATAGTTTTTTAAAAACATCGGAGCTCAATGACACAGGTGAAGTAGATATTTGATATCACACAGCTCAGTTTTGTTTCTTGTCTGTAATTCAGT